CAAAATCATATATTAACAATGGACTGTTTGAGTTTCAGGTTATGACTTAAGTCCAATATTTGCTTTGTTTCCATGTCTTTTCTGTTTCTTATAATATTAATCTGTTTGAACTGTGGAAATGTTCTGTAACATTGTTTCTTGGCATTAGCTAAGTAGCATCTTTGCTGACTTCCTTTTTAATCCGAGCCTTTGTTCTTTCATCTCTCTCATTGTAATAGTTTATTAGTTTCTGTTTCGCAACTATCAACAGTCACCTCTCTAATTCACCCTCCCAAATGTCCCTACCCCACAGTGGTGCTTGGGCAGTGTGATACTAGATCAATAAAGGCTTGTGCAATTTGTTGTTGTTGTTGTTTAGCCGTTTAGTCGTGTCCGACTCCTTGTGACCCCATGGACCAGAGCATGCCAGGCTCTCCTGTCTTCCACTGCCTCCCACACTTTGGTCAAACTCAAGCTGGTAGCTTCGAGAACACTGTCCAACCATCTCGTCCTCTGTCGTCCCCTTCTCCTTGTGCCCTCCATCTTTCCCAACATCAGGGTCTTTTCCAGGGAGTCTTCTCTTCTCATGAGGTGGCCAAAGTATTGGAGCCTCAGCTTCACGATCTGTCCTTCCAGTGAGCACTCAAGGCTGATTTCCTTAAGAATGGATAGGTTTGATCTTCTTGCAGTCCATGGGACTCTCAAGAGTCTCCTCCAGCACCTTAATTCAAAAGCATCCATTCTTCGGCAATTAGCCTTCTTTATGGTTCAGCTCTCACTTCCATACATCACTACTGGGAAAACCATAGCTTTAACTATACGGACCTTTGTTGGCAAGGTGATTGTGCAATTTTAGTTAGGTACATTTTGGGGGGGTCTATCCACTCAAGTGATGTATTGAATATGATGTCACATATTCTACGATGTGATGTGTAGGCTGTGCCATCTCCTTATGCAGTGATCATGAATGCATCGCCCCCAAGATTAGCACAAGAATGCTGATATCTATTTTACCGAGAACCAGATGGCGGAAAGAGCTGGATACCAACAGACACAAGATATTGTTTTGTTTTTTGCTAAATGAGCCCTGGTAAGGTACTGCATCTCTTTTCAGATCATTAACTGTTGCTTATATCTATGCCTATGTCTCCCTCTAGAGGCTTTTTGCTGTTGTTTAGTCGCTTAGTTGTATCCGACTCTTCGTGACCCCATGGACCAGAGCACGCCAGGCACTCCTGTCTTCCACTGCCTCCTGCACTTCGGTCAAACTCATGCTGGTAGCTTCGAGAACACTGTCCAACCATCTCGTCCTCTGTCATCCCCTTCTCCTTGTGCTAGTCTCTTGTAAATAGACTTCCCATGTTTACTAGCTATCTCGAGGTTGTTACTATTTTGCTGGAGGGATTAAAATGCATACTGGGAAATGTAGGTTTGCACAATTAATGTGGATTGAAGCGCTCTGGTGCCCTTGCTCAACAAATCAAGTTTTTTTAAAAAATGGGTGAGGATGACGGGCAGTATAAAAAATTAATAAATCATCATCATCAATTGACAGAAAGTGCATACAAATAAATCAGGATGACTGCTCAGTAAACAAGTCATCTGAAAGCAAATCTTTCCATATACTGTGCTGCTTTCTCACCACTTCAGTTTGCATGTAGCTTTGGGAAGAATGTTTGTGCCTCTGATATCCGTAGTAGATCCATACGTGTGCGGCAGTGATTAATTAAAATCACAAAATGACACATAACGCATGCATACCCAGAGGCAGTGGTTCACACGCTGCAGCCCGCAGTGAATAAGCTAGCCAGTAAATTGGTTGTGGCTCATTCTGTTGTTTTACAGTAACATGCATCACATGAAGATGCAGGATGCATGCCTCTTGTAAATTGTTGTTCCACAGAGTTCTGCAGGCATCACAGATGGGAAGGGAAGTGGCTCATGCCCTTGTACATTTAGTGTGGTGGCCACAAGGCTGAGCAACCACCCAGGATGTCCCTGGGCTGTAGCTCAGTGGTCAAGCGCCACATGCCTGGCATGCAGAAGGCACCACATTCCACCCCTGGTGGCATCTCCAATTACATGGTGAGATAGGTAATAGGAAGCTCCTCTACTGGACACACTGAACGGCTGCTGCCAGCCAGAGTAGACAGTACTGTGTGAGGTGGGCAGATAGTCTGATCTGGTGTAACACACATTTTCCAGCCCTCCCATCGTCAATATTTTGTTGAAAAAACTCATTTTGAATCTATCTATCTATCTATCTATCTATCTATCTATCATCTATCTATCTATCTATCTATCTATCTATCTATCATCTATCTATCTATCTATCTCTATCATCTATCTATCTATCTATCTATCTATCTATCTATCTATCTATCTATCTATCTATCTATCATCTATCTATCTATCTATATCTATCATTTATCTATCTATCTATCTATTATCTATCTATCTATCTATCTATCTATCTATCTATCTATCTATCTATCTATCATCTATCTATCTATCTATCATCTATCTATCTATCATCTATCTATCTATCTATCTATATCATCATCTATCCAACTATCTATCTATCGTCATCTATCTATCTATCTATCTATCTAGCTAGCTATCATCTATCTATCTATCTATCTATCTATCTATCTATCTATCTATCATCTATCTATCTATCTCTATCTATATCTATCTATCTATCTATCATCTCTATCTATCTATCTATCATCTATCTATCATCTATCTATCTATCTATCATCTATCATCTATCTATGCTACATCATATATCAGTGTAAAGGTAAAGGGACCCCTGACCGTTAGGTCCAGTCGTGGATGACTCTGGGGTTGTGGCGCTCATCTCGCTTTATCAGTGTAGCATCAGCAAAAATGGAAAAAACTGGAAGAAAATCAAAACGTAATACATAATTCCATAATCTTATATAACAGCCAAAGCTTCTTGTCTTATGTTTTCAGAAGAGATCTAAGAAAGTAGTGCTAGTTTCAACATAAGGACTTTTTTATTTTCAGGATTTATACCCCACCTTTCAACTAAAGAACTTTCAAAGATGGTAAAACAATCAAATTATAATGGTACAATAACCAGTGGCAAAGCAGAGCTGAAACAGTGCAAGGTGGTAAGACTGTTCACAAAACAGTCAGTTTAGCAGCCCATAAAATAACACAGACTAAAACAATGTTTATTAATTTGGTTGTTTTAGCAAAATTTATATTCTGCGTCAAACTTCTAAGCGTTTTACAATAAAATAAAATTAAAATAAAACATTGAAGTTATCTATGGCAGTCTGCTAACAACAGGGATTTAAAAGTATTCGACAGATAATTAAAATGCATTTTAATTTCAACTATGCTTGCCTAAACAAAAATGGTTTAAGCAGGTGCCAAGAAGAGTACAGCAGAGCCTGCCTGATGTCACTAGGCAGGGAGTTCCAATGTGTATAGGTGCTGCCACACCAAACGGCTGACATCTTACAAGTACTGAACACGTGTTCGTACCATGTTCCATGTGTCCTCATTTTCCAGGACATGTCCTCTATTTCAGGGGTAAAATTGCTGTCGGGGTAGATTTTTTAAATTTGCCAAAATGTCTCTGGCTATACTTTCTGGATGAGACATAGACGTAACTGGTAATTGAAGACTTGCTTTCATCTTCTCTTCTCCTCACCCCCACCCCCCCGCAGCAATATATCACAGCTTCTATAGTCTACATATAGTAAAAAAGGCAAAGGACCCCTGACAGTTAAGTTCAGTTGCGAACGACTCTGGGGTTGCAGCACTCATCTCGCTTTACTGGCTGAGGGAGCCGACGTTTGTCCGCAGACAGTTTTTCCGGGTCATGTGGCCAGCATGACTAAGCCGCTTCTGGTGAACCAGAGCAGCGCACGGAAATGCCTGTTTACCTTCCTGCCAGAGTGGTACCTATTTATCTACTTGCATTTTGACATGCTTTCAAACTGCTGGATTGGCAGGAGTTGGGACCGAGCAACGGGAGTTCACCTCATCACGGGGATTCGACCTGCCAATCTTCTGATCGGCAAGCCCAAGAGGCTCAGCGCCACCCACGTCCCTACTACACATAGTAGGGGTATTTAAAATGAGAGTTGTCATAGCGTCCTCGTATTTGCTCTCCAAAATATGGCAACCCTTTCAGGTACCGATAACAGTGCCAGATGGCCAGTTAGCACAGTTTCCACTTTTGTCAGCAACCATGCTGCAGCATCCTGTCCTAATTGCAGTTTCTAGATCAAGTACAAGGGAACAGAGTCATGCACAGTAAAGCAAGTGGAGCCAGAGCCAATAGCTGGCATAGCCAATAGATTCTAGTTCTGCTTCCATCCTGCTCCCAGCGTGGTGTAGTGGTTAAGAGCAGTGGACTCATAATCTGGTGAACCGGGTTCGCTTCCCCGCTCCTCCACTGCTGGCAGCTGCTGGGTGACCTTGGGCCAGTCACACTTCTCTGAAGTCTCTTAGCCTCACTCACCTCACAGAGTGTCTGTTGTGGGAGAGGAAGGGAAAGGAGAATGTTAGTCGCTTTGAGACTCCTTCGGGTAGTGATAAATAATAATAATAATAAAATAAATTTTATTTATATCCCGCCCTCCCCAGCCAAAGCCGGGCTCAGGGCGGCTAACAACAATAAAACAGTACAAAAGTACAGCATAAACAACATTCTAAAATCATTCATTATAAAATTAATTAATTCAAGCCACTGGCAACCATTGGGCCAGAGCTCCGCGAAGATTCCCGAGGGAGGGAGTCAGGCTGTGCCCTGGCCAAAGGCCTGGTGGAACAGCTCTGTCTTGCAGGCCCTGCAGAAAGATGTCAAGTCCCGCAGGGCCCTGGTCTCTTGTGACAGAGCGTTCCACCAGATTGGAGCCACAGCCGAAAAAGCCCTGGCTCTAGTTGAGGCCAGCCTAACTTCTCTGTGGCCTGGGACCTTCAAGATGTTTTTATTTGAAGCGGGATATCAAATCCAAACTCTTCTTCTTCTTCTTCCCAAGGGGTGACGGTGAAACTGAGGAGGAGAAAGCTGGCAGCCAGGGACACCCACTGGGCTGGTTGCAAGGAAGGAGGCAGACAAGTGGCGGTTGGCTGAGGTTGGTGGATCAGTGCCCCATTTGCCCGAAAGGACTAGCCATGGCTGGTTGTAGTAATAACCATCTGAAGGATTTGGCGTGTTTATTACATTTATATACCACCTCCCCCCCCCACAGGAGCTCAAAGTGGTTCTCCTCCTCCACATTTCAACCTCACAACAACCGTGTGAGGTAGGTTAGGCTGAGAGATGGCTCACTCTGTGCAGGCCTCTCTCAGCTCTGCTGCCTGTCATAGAACTGTAGAGTTGGAAGGGATGGCGAGGATTATCTGGTCTACCCCCTGCAATGTCGGGATCTTTCGCCCAACATGAGGTTCAAACCCACGACCCTGAAATTAAGAGCCTCATGCTCTACCAGCTGAGCTATCCCTCATGCTCAGTCCCATAGTGGCTGGCCCAAGGTCACCCAGTGAGCTTCATGGTTAAGTGGGGATTAGAACCCTACTCTCCCAGGTCATAGTCCAACACTCTAACCACTACACCATACTGGCTCACTAAAATAGATGTTGCACAGTCTACTCCTACTGTTTCTACTGTTTCCTACTGCCCTTGGTTTCAGCTTCCACAGCCCCAGTGGCCTCGGAGGGAGTGGTGCTTCATGGAGCACGTCTCTCCCTTAAATGCAGGCTTCCCCATTATTATGGGAAAGTTTGAGAACTTCTGCCTAGTATGATGTGAATCAGCAAAGCAATGGCAGACCGACCTATCTCTCCCCAAATGTCAGTTTGACATATGCCGTAGCACTTGCTCCTTTGCACAGCCCAGCAGATAAAATGATAAAAAACACCCCGGAGAATCATCCTGCCAAGCAGAACGCAACCATTACCTCCATGGATAAAATATCCTCTCAGCACCAAGTAAGAATAATGGCCATATTGGGTCAGAATTTGAACCATTGATCTTTTAGGCATGGATTCTCCAGATAATGAGCAACAAGCTTTATCTTGCCAAAACCAGCGCTTTATATAATGAATTGTTGCATCGCTTCATCAGACTAGAACACATGTTGTCATATTTTGCTGTCGAAAGATTTCCTAGGGCAACATGTATCAGATGAAACAACAAAGAGTTTTGACGTATCTTAAAGGACTTAACAGATTTATTGTGGCATAGTTAGACTTCAAGGTGCCAGGGGCCTGCTGTCGTTATCACTCCAATCTTTGGAACGTGTTGGATGATATCTATGATTGGTTGCATTGTTGTCTTCTTAAGAACTGTTGGAATTCAATGGGAAAAAGTCATGAACAATGCAAACTGTGCTTTCATTAATCTCTTCCTTTGGTTTTCTGATTCTTGCGAAAACAGTACAATAGGCGGGCGATACATTTGACTGGTTTGTTTATCCAGCTTTGCCAGCAACTAATATGCATTTCTTTTTATAGATAAGACTGAACTAAGTTCCTTGGGTGAAATTCAACTTAGGCCAAGCCAGAGAAGAAGTGGAAGATCTATGAATCGCCTATTATTTTGATTTCCTGAAACCCAGTTATGGTGGCTCTGAATTTTGGCAGAGCTCTTGGGTGGGGGAGATGGGTTTAACCCCAAACCTCTAAATAATTGTACCCCACCTATCTGACTGGGTTGCCCCAGCCACTCTGGGCGACTTCCAGCAAAATATAAAAATACAATAAAACATGGAACATTAAAAATTTCCCTACTCGGGGCTGCCTTCAGATGTCTTCTGATGACCTTGCTCCCCCTCTGAAATTTATTTAAGCCAGGCTGCGAAGGTCATACAGCAAGAAGACCAGGGCCTGGGCCTTTTTTTGCTCTCCGCCTATATATTTAAGTCTAGATTATTTCTATTGCGTTTCTATTGAAATTCTGTTCTGCATTTGCAAAATTGTTGATTTTTGAATTTATTGATTTATTGATATGTTTTGCAAAGCGACTTCTCTCTCCCACCCCTTTTGCGTTTTGATATTTTGAAGGTTTGCTGTAAACCAAAGCTGCAATCCTAGCCCCGCTTGGTATGGTGCTCTGCCTGGACCTGTCATGGGCCCAGGAGTCAGCTTCACCTGTTGAGCAGCATCCTGAAAGAGGAGAAGGTGGAGTGACTCTACAGGAGAAAGCACTGATGAGAACCAGCTGGCTGTGGCCTTCTTAAACAGAGCTCTCAGCAGCAGTCAGATGCTGGAAACAATGCCTGTAGTTTCTGGCCCTAGCTTGCTGCTACCTGCTCTCCATCAGGATTCCCTGACCTCTGGACTGTTTGACTTTGTATGTGGATTCTGCTCTCAGGTGAGAGCTCCTTCCAGACTCCTAGCCCCTGCTTGCTCAGCAATGGGACTCAGACGGGGCTACAACAGGACCAAATATTGTTGAGCAAAAGTGCATGGATCCTTTGCAAACCAATCCTCTGCTGTCCAAAGTATTATACTTACAGGAACCAGACTAGTAACTAGTTAAGCTGGAGAAAGGACGATGCTAATGCTTGCCAGTAGGTGGTGCTCTTCACTTGGAGACAACACACAGCCAGATCTGACTTGGGTAGGTCTTCTGTTTACTGAAATATCAAACCAAGGACCAAAGTGCCACAGGAGCATTAAAAATTCTATGCGCCTCTAAAAATAAGGGTTCATATCTTTTGTGTGTGCCAGTTTCCTGCTTGTGTGCTTCTATTTGCAGTGTTGCATGTGTAAAAATGAGTGTATAAGAAAATACATAGATGTTCATGAGACAAGGACCTGGAGAATATTGCTGATCCATCATTTCTGAAGCTTTAACAGAAAATTCTGCTGTCGGTTCCAAAAAGTGCTGCAATTGTATTTAATATCTTTAAAAGAGTGGGAATGTGGGTGGTTCAGGTATTCATAGAGGTAAATGGTGATAAGATGCAAAAAAAAAAAAAATTTCTCTGGTGGTACTCGACAGTACCTAGGGTTGCCATACACCTCGAATTTCCAGGACCTATCTGGAATATTGCAGCTGCAAGCAGTGCCTGGGCGGAAATCTGCTAAATGTCCTCTTTGCTGGTTTTCCTTAGAAATATCTCAACAACTTTGGCCAAAACTAAAAGCTCATCAACTTTGCCAACAACTTTTCTGTCTGGATTTTCACTTTTTGAAATATGCCACTTTTTAAAAAAACCATATATATGACAATCCACAGATCTGCATTCAAAGTTCAGCCAGTGGAGGGAGGGATAACAACGACTTTTCACTGAGATCATCTCATTTTTCCCTCCCAAAATCCTGTGCCGAGTGGGAGGGAAACCAGATTTTGGTGCTGACTTAGTAAACACCAGGACAGGGAGGGAGCAATGCCAATCAAACTCACCCATGGGACTTTGGCTCCCCTTTAGGTTTCACAATTCTGAACAGTGGCGAACTCAGCAGAGGCAGACCCCCCAGCCCCAAACTTCACACTAAGTGTCCCTTTCTTCCATCATTACTTTCCTTCCCAATATAATGGTCAATTCTGCCCAACCACATGTATTTGAAGTAGGAATAGAAGGAGGAAGTATGTTTGGGTAAAGTTTTTGCAGTTAATATAATCTATTCACATTTCCTTTTCCCCTGATTGCTGAATGCAGTCTCTTTCTCCTGACAACTCAGTGGCAAACCCATTGAGCATCAAAAGAACACATCAAATCAAAGTCCAGGATAACATGTGCACAGTGACCAACCAGTGACTTCAAGGAAGTGAATTCCTGTTTTTCTTAGGGCTGTTTTCGGTCTATTACTTGCTTGTGGTTTGCACTGTCACTCCTGGAGCACCTAATATTCTACAGCGGCTGTTCACCACAGATCATTAACTGCTGCATGTAGTTATTATTACCATCTCTCATACATGGGAAAATGTCGTGGCGGTTAATTCCTCTCTTGATGGGGGCTGGTTGCAATTTATACAAACCGTTGTTCTGAGGAAAACACTCAGAGGAAATGCCCGGGACGAGCTGTTGCTTAGCATTCATTATTTACCTCATAATGCATGGGTAGGCAAACTAAGGCCCGGAGCCCAATCGCCTTCTAAATCCAGCCCGCAGACAGTCCGGGAATCAGTGTGTTTTTACACGAGTAGAATGTGTCCTTTTATTTAAAATGCATCTCTGGGTTATTTGTGGAGCATAGGAATTCGTTCATTTCCCCCCTCCAAAATATAGTCCGGCCCCCCACAAGGTCTGAGGGACAGTGGACCAGCCCCCTGCTGAAAGTTTACTGACTCCTGTATTATGTGACCTGGACCAAAGCAGCTGCAAAGAGTTATAATCATTATAATCGGGTGGTGCCCAATGACAACCATTATCAGCTTGTTGAGTAGGACTGAAACCAGAGTTGGATTGCCCGAAGGTACCGTATGTTTGTGTGGTAGGTTTGTGGGGTGTATATAATATCAGGGCTTTTTTTCACCCAGAACTCGCTGTAACTCAGTTCCAGCACCCCCTCAAGTGGGTGCCATTGCCATTTTAAGAGAACAAGGGAGGTCCTCATGTTGAGTTCCAGCATCTCTTTTTCTAGAAAAATAGCACTGTATAATAAATGAATCAATTAAAAAATTTTGTGCCCTCAGATGATCATAAGAACACAAGAACACATCAAATCAAAGTCCAGGATACATGTGCCACAGTGACCAACCAGTGACCTTCAAGAAGCCCACATGCTGCAGAACCTGAGGTTAGTAGTATGCTTCCTCACATCCTATTGCCACATCATAGACCTATGACTCGCACCTAATTTAGAGGTAATATTTTTAAGGATGGTTATGTTATGTTTTGTTTGTGGGTGTAGGAATTATTTATGTTGTCTGTATACAGCAAGAGGACATATTGGGTGAATTGGTAAGATTCTGTTCTGACTTTTCAGAAAATAACTACGTAATTTTAAAAAAGTGAATAGATGCACAGTTACTTCAATTGCTTGGGGCACGTGCCTCTTTGCATGTCTGAAACCTCCTTGCCTATGTTCTGAGGAAAAGCGCTAGTGAAGCCCTAGTTTTGTTCTGCTAGAGGAAAGGCAGGTGTCAATCAAGTAGAGCTGGCTCAGAAATTGGCACATTTTAGCAAAACGCAGAGGAGCACAGTGTGTAACTTTAGTCTAGGTAGGGGAGTACCCTTGTAAGATACCCAGGAACATTATTAGAAACCGCTATATAATCTAGGCACCAAATGGCTCCTTAAACCAGGGTTACAGTTGCCAAAAGGGAATGCCTAGTTGCCATTTTGGGGCCAGAAAGCTCAAAAGTTGTATTTTTCAATATGACTTATTGGTGTCTGAAATTCATTCTTATTGTGCAGATAAAAGATAACGGATAGAATTCTACAGAATGTGTTGATAGTGTGTGAAAACAGTCAAGATTGAAGGTCCCCCAGGGATGCACTTCCAGATGGTGGAGATTTCAGGCACCATTGTGGCTCCCAGGCACCTTCACTTGGTTGCAGGTGGCCTGTAGTCAGGTGCAAAATGAGTACCTCTTACCTGCTGATTTGTACTGCTTCTACTCCTATCACCATCATGGGTAAACCAGCTTTAACACAATATGACTGATTGTGGGCCTTGATGGGAACCTAGTATGCCACTTGTCCTGTCTGTTCCCAGTTCTCCTATGCTGTGTGTAGAACCCAGAAGTGCTGCCTGCTCCTAGGGATTCTGGGTAATTCTTTCTTTTGCCGGAGGGAGAGCTTAAGTGAGCAAATGGTTGCATGACTCTAACAGAGTAATCCTTCCTGCTGCACCGTGCTGAGAGTGTGTGGGAGAGCTCATATTCTCTTTCTCGGGGGGCATCACACGGCCTGGTTTTATCTTTACCATGCCACCCAGAGACCTTGAGCTCAGTGGTAGAACACATGCATTACCAGGGTCAGTCCCTGACATCTCTGGATACAGAGGTACTGTTTAAAAGGAACTGCCTCTTATAGTTGCCTCATTTCTGCATGAGGATGAATTAACACAGAAAATATATCAGGATGGACTTCTGTAATTAGATTCTCAATGGATTAGACTGTTTAAACATGCAGTCTCTCTGGACTGCAGCAGAAGACAGGCTTCCTCTTAGCTAGTATGTTGAAATACATGTGTTCTGTCACTAGGGGGTGCCAAAATGCTATTTGCCTGCTAACTGCATTTGTTGTCTCATCAGATGAGTAAGCATGAAAACCAGTGCTTTTTTTCGGGGGGGATGCAGGGGTACGCATACCCCTAAACATTTCGTGAATCTAAGTTTGGCATCATTGAGGGGCAGTATTTCAATATGAGCAGGAAAATGAGAATAAACCTAAACTTTTTTTTTATAGAAAAAACACACTGATGAAAACTATTCATACTATTGAATTAAGTATACTCTGAGTGCTTATAGGGCAGGATTTGACAAATGGTTTCCTATAGCAGAAGCCCACACAAGGACTCCTGCTAGAGCAATGGGACTTCCCACCCCACTCATCCTCCTGCAATGCCCACTGACTGAGCAGAGGGAGGTCAGGATGTGTTTGTGTGTCTGTGAGAGTGTTACAGAACAGATGCTTTCCTTGCCTGGGCTGCACAAGCGAAGGGTCGAGAAGAACTGGGACAATCCTGAGCAGATACTCAGCACAGTGGTACCTCGGGTTACATACGCTTCAGGTTACAGACGCTTCAGGTTACAGACTCCGCTAACCCAGAAATAGTACCTCGGGTTATGAACTTGGCTTCAGGATGAGAACAGAAATCGTGCTCCGACGGTGCGGCGGCAGCAGGAGGCCCCATTAGCTAAAGTGGTACTTCATTTTAAGAACAGTTTCATGTTAAGAACAGACCTCTGGAACGACTTAAGTACTTAACCTGAGGTACCACTGTACTGGACTTGGTGCTGTGGTCTGAGACGGTGGTTGCCCTTCCATGTGCACACTTGGCAGTGCTGGTTTCTAAGGGATAACGTTGAACTCCTTCCAGAGTCAGTTCCGTTTGTGGCTGAAGTAGATATGCTCTCTGCTCTGCTTCTCCTCACAGCAGCGGCAGTATTACCACAGCAAGGGCAGTGTTTCCCTACCCCATCCCTTCACCCTGCGGCTTCCTCCTTCTTAGGCAGTCCCAGTGTGCCCCCCATGAAGCTCAGAGCCCCAGGCTCTGTGGGGCTCTGTCAGGATGGAAATGAAGCAAGGCTGGCTGGGCCTATAGGAAGAGGTGTGATACAACTCCCGGATACAAGGCACCAGCTGAGACTAGACGGAGGCAGGCAGTGTGTTGGCAAAGCAGCACCCTCTCTTGACAGCGTGTGTAATTAAGGTTTAAAATCCTCATTAAACATTAGGGTTGCATGGAGAGAGTTGAGTTGGGGCCCAGATCTGGGTTGGCCCAAAACTGGTTCAGATCTGATCCCAAGTGCTTGATCGGGCCCCAGATCAGATCAGAGTAATGATGATGCACAGTCCTAATTTATACCATGGAAGAGCCAATGGAATATAAGAGGAGAAGCCTGTATATATAGCAGCTAATAATTTGAATTCCCCGTCATTAGAAAAGAACCGGTTCAGACAGGTTTCCCCAGAAATCCTGCAACGTGCTAGCATTGCATCCCATTTGAGCAATGGCCTGCAGTTGTTTGGATGGGTATCACATGGTTATGTAACAAATTCCCAGAGATGATTAATTCTTCAGTGGGTGGGTGTCACCTGACATGCAGAACATATGCTGTGGGTTACAACGTGTTGCATGTTTCTGAGACCAAACCAGGTAAGATGTTAACTTCGCATTTAATTTACAGGTTTTTAAAAATGAAAATAACATCAGCTGGAGGTGTGTGTGTGTGTGTGTGTGTGTGTGTGTGTGTCTTTCTCTGATAATTATTTGCATGCCAGTAGGTGTGGAAAGGGTGGTGGTTAAGCCTTCCTTTCCCTTCTGCATTAACTGAAGAAAATTCCTGCTTAGAAGGTGCTATTTTCTTTGAGAGGGAAATTCCTGGCAGAATACAGGGAGGTGGCCTGGTTATGGCGGTGCCCTGTGGAACTCTGGGTCCAGTTGGGATACATGAACTGACCAGAATCCCTATGTTAAAACCAGCCCTACCCTACCGTATCCCTAACTCAGGGGTGCTGCCGCCATTATTGTTAAGAGCATGGGTAGGCAAACTAAGGCCCGGGGGCTGGATCTGGCCCAATCGCCTTCTAAATCCAGCCCGCGGATGGTCTGGGAATCAGCGTGTTTTTACATGAGTAGAATTTGTGCTTTTATTTAAAATGCATCTCTGGGTTATCTGGGGGGCATAGGAATTCGTTCATTATTATTATTATGATTTTATGATTTTCAAAATACTGTATAGTCTGGCTCCCCACAAGGTGTGAGGGACAGTGGACCAGCCCCCTGCTGAAAACGTTTACTGGCCCCTGGTTAAGAAGATGACAGTATTCACCCCCCACCCACCAAGCAAACTTGGAGCTCCACCGTTTGCAGCCACTGCCCAGCTGAACCACATCAGCTACAGTGGGGTGCCCCAGGGCCCTGGCATTTTGCTGATTATGCTGGGTGCTGGCCCTGTATATGAAACACACACACACACACACACACACACACACACACACCACATCTTCATTAGAATTTGGGAGGGCGAACTGATGGTGGATAACTGGGTTGGGTTAACGCTTCACTGCGTGAGGGGCTGGTCCCTGCTGCATTGAAAGTGGTGAAGGCACTTCTAAGTAAACTGGCTGTGGGCCCTTTGGATTGGAATAACTATTGAGAAGTTGCGCATACCCTTTTTGTGGTGAAAGTGGTGGAGGGCTGTGGTGGGGCAGCAGCCGGTGTTCTTGGAGGACACAGATTATTTAGAACCACTCCAATCTGAGTTCAGGCCTGGCCACAGAACTGAGCCAGCCTTGGTCTCCCTGATGCACAGAGTGGGACACGGGGATTGCCACTTTTCTTTTGATTCTTGATCTCTTATCAGCTTTTGATACCATTGGTCATGGTATTCTCCTGGATCTCCTCTGGGGAATGGAAATTTGGGGCACTGTATTATACCATGTTTCCAATCCTACTTTCACAACCAAGTCCAGAGAGGAGCTTTGGGTGAGTGCCTTTTTGTTCCCTGGTGGCTACATTATGGGGTGCCGCAGGGGGATATCTTATTTCTAGTACTATTTAATATCTACCTGTAACATTGCCTTGCCCCATATGTGCCCACTCGACCACTTCAATCAGCAGAATTGACACTGCTACAGATGCCACATCTGTAAGAACTTGATTGTTGAGTGTGGCAGCACTTACACTGCAGAACTCCCTGCCTATTGAAATCATGCAGGCACTTGCTAAAAAACATTGTTTCGACAAGCCTACCCAGATGCTTAGAAAGTGGAAGTGATTTTAACCTGTTTTAATATTTTAATTTTTGTGTGTTTAAAAGTAGGGTTTTGATTTTATTTATTTATCTTTTTCTTAACCACTTTGATTGCGAAAGAAAAATAAAATAAAAACATCAATCAATCAATAAAATAACATTACTTCTGGGAATTCTGCCTGGAAGCTGACAGATTACACATTATCAGGCATTTGACACTGAGACTGGCCCTACCATTGGGCAAAGTGAGGCAACTGGCTCATGCAGCACATACTGGGTGGCAGCAGTAGCAGCAGCTCCCCTGGCTTCGTCTCCTGAGTTCCCAAGCCATTCCCTGACTTCTGGAAGTCACGTGTGTGTGTCACATACC